TGTTCCCAGTCATCCTGCTTTGGGTTTTTTTCAGAAGTGTAACATGATTACTACTGAACTCCAAATTCAGGCCAGTGGCTGTTAATGCTAGGTAGGAGGAGTATATTTTGGACAACAAGAGAATGAAAGCTCCCATTACTAGATAAAACAAAGCAAATTGTAGAAAAGCTGTGTAAGAATGCATATACCGAGTCTAGCCACCTGCACCTTGCAGTAGTGCCCCTGGCTTCTGCAGGGTTCCAAATCTGTGTTCTGGCCTAGTCCCACCACCTTCTCCTTCACCTCAGCCAACATTTAGGCTTTCTCTAGGACCTGCCATACCTTCATCCACCTCCAGGACCCTTTGTACTGCCTCTACCATTCCCCTCCATACCCAGACTTCCCATATCCTTCCTTAGGGTCTAGCCTGATCCTCTACCATTCCCCTCCATACCCAGACTTCCCATATCCTTCCTTAGGGTCTAGCCTGATCCTCTACCATTCCCCTCCATACCCAGACTTCCCATATCCTTCCTTAGGGTCTAGCCTGATCCTCTACCATTCCCCTCCATACCCAGACTTCCCATATCCTTCCTTAGGGTCTAGCCTGATCATCTACCATTCCCCTCCATACCCAGACTTCCCATATCCTTCCTTAGGGTCTATCCTGATGACTGACTACCCCTGATCTTTTCACACATGCCTTTTCCCCTGGGTCCCACAACCAGAGCACACGCCTAGTCTGACCTTCCCAGCCTTCACTGCAGAGGACTCTAGGGTTGGACCAGTATCCTCTCTACCTCTCTGCCACACCACAGGATTCTCCTGCATCATACCCAACCTTTCCTATCAACCCCACACTCCCGGCTTGGAACAGGAAGCAAACCCTGTATACCGGCCCAGTCCCCTCTGCCCACCTGACTTCATTTCATTCAAGACAACCCCAACCTGCTCCCACATCTTCTCCTCTCCCCATACTGCTGTGTCCATAACAACCTTAAATCTAACAAAGGAGCCCACAAGCTTAGATCTCCCACAGCAATACCAGTCCCCCAAACGTACTGGTCCTGTAGGAATGCTTGCCCATGAGAATTACCAAGATGAACTGCAGCAAAAAGAAATTAAAAGAACAGTCATAAACCTCCTCAGAATTTAGGGGGTTGAAAGAAGACAGAAACAGCTGAGTAAAATCAAGGAGAAAGAGTTTAAGGAGAAAACACAAACATAAAGCTGATAGAAATGATGAGGACCATTCAGGATTTGAGGATGGAATTCAATAAAGAGATAGAAACATTGAAAAGGGCTCAAACTGAAATGAAGATGGAGTTGAAACCCCCAATAGCCCAACTAGAACACTCAAGGGAAAGCCTTATAAGTAAAATGAACCAAACAGAAGACAATATCAGGTTTCTAAGATAAAATAGAGGCTCTATGCCAAATAAATAATAAACATGAAAAAATTAAAAAATACATAGGAAAGGAAGACACAGGAAATGAAAACAAAACAGAAAACAAAACAAAACCCCCAAACTTTGAATTACAGGCATAGATGAGGGAGAGAGAATCCCCAGTCCATGGCATAGATCAGATCTTCAGTAAGAGCATGAAGAAAACTTGCCAAACTAAGGAAAGACACACCCATACAGATACAAGCAGCACACAGAACACCAACAGACGAGGCCAGGAAAGAAGATCCCCATGGCAAATATATAAAAAAGAAGTATATGGAAAGCTGAAAGAAGAACCAAAAACTTGGCAGTAAGTAACCAACAGCTCGTTCGAGATCTGCTCAACAAGAGGGAAACTATAGTTATGTCTAACTAGTTGGTGCTAGTGAAATCACGGTTATTGGACGAGAACCTACAACCACTAATCTACTAAAAGCAGCATAATCCATAACAACAATCTACAGACATTTGTCCTTATACCCACAGATAAGGGCAGTCTTCACCCCTCTTCAAGGAAACCTCTCTTTGCCACAGTTGGAGACCACTACAGAATTCCACAACCAACAGAAATGCAGTTGTTGAGCTGGGTCCCAATGGATACATCTACAAATCACTTCATCTAAGGCTCAGGGAGCACAGCAAGAGTCAGAGGATCAGGAAATTTGCTGTGAAACTGTGTCTCCTAGTAGTGTCGGAAACTACATTCTTAGTCTCACCAACATGACTTCCCCAACGTGAGCAAAACAAGGACAGGCCCGAGTGGACAGGTTAAAATGAAAGCCTACAGGAAGAAGTATAGGCAACTGAGCAAAACTGGGAACCGGAGGGGGCGTGTCCCCCCCCCTGCGTCCATCCATCCCCGCCCCCCCCCTTCCCTGCCAGAGAAGAGCATACCAACTGGTGGTCTGGTGCAAAATAGCACTGAAAACCTACCTACAAGTAACATTATATGGACTCAGCATGTTATATTTGAGAATATATGTGTATACACAAATACATATGTGCTTGCAATAACAATTGATGAAAAAAGAGAATATGAATTTGAAGGGGAGGGGGAGGAGTAGATGGGAGGGTTTGAAGGGAGGAAAGGGAAGTGGGGAATGTAATTTTGTTAGACTTACTATTGCTGCATTGAAACACCATGATCAAACAAAACAAAAACAAAGCCGGGCGGTGGTAGCACACACCTTTAATCCCAGTATTCATCCCAGCACTCGGGAGGCAGAGACAGGCAGATCTCTGTATGTTCCAGACCAGCCTGGTTTACAGGAGCTAGTTCTAGGACAGCATGCAAAGCCACAGAGAAACTGTCTCGAAAAACCAAAACCAAACCAAAAAAAAAAAAAAAATCCAAAAAACGAAAAAACTCCAGAAAAACAAGTTGAGGAGATGTGTTTATTTGATTTACACTTCCATATCACTGTTGATCATCAAAGGAAGTCAGGCCAGGCACTCAAGCAGGGCAGGGTCCTGGAGGCAGGAGCTGATGCAGAGACCACGGAAGTGTGCTGCTTACTAACTTGCTCTCTACGGCTTGCTCAGTCTACATTTTTATAGAACCCAGGACCACCAGGGATGGCACCACCCACAATGGGCTGGCCTCTTTCCCACCAATCACAGCTGAAGCTTATGGAGGCATTTTCTTAATCAAGGCCCCTTCCTTTCTGATAACTCTAGCCTGTGTCAAGTTGACACAAAATCAGCCAGCACAGTAATTAAAATACAATCTCAAAAAAAGGCATGGTTGACAGAGTATCTGGGGCCAGTGTTTGTGGGTGTGGTTTCCCCTAGCCCAGCATGAGGCAGAGGCTTCCAGCAAAGGTAAAAAAGAAAAGAGAGGGTCTTGCTATATAGCCCTGACTGGCCTGGAACTTGCTGTATAGCAAGACTGCTGGGATAGAGTTGCCAAGACTGGCTTTGAACCCCGAATCTTTCTGCCTGAATCTTCCCAGGACTGGAATTCTAGATGGCCACCCCCACTAGACCTATTTGCACATTTGTAGGTTACAAAGTGCTGTGTCACGCATGCCTAACTGGAGGAAGATTAAATACTGTTGGCTGAAATATTTAACACACTTGCTGCTTTTGTAGTGGGTGGGGTCTCTTTTGTAAGAACCTTATGCTTTGTCTCCCAAAGACTCTATTTCCTAATACCATTACAATTTTAACATCTATATTTGGGGGAAACGCTCTCTGAGGTGCTTAGACACCTGCCTACTTGCAAAAATTCCCTCAGTATAGTGTAATTCGCTACAAAATGACCTTATAGTAGGTATGCAGTAAAGGTGTCTTCTCTGGCTAGATCATGGAGAATGTTTCCAAGGGACTTGCTTCTAGCAAAGATTCACTTAAGATCTTAGAGCTGGGGAGACGGGCGGTGGTGACACACGCCTTTAATCCCAGCACTAGGGAGGCAGAGGCAGGTGGATCTCTGTGAGTTCGAGGACAGCCTGATCTACAAGAGCTAGTTCCAGAACAGCCTCCAAAGCCACAGAGAAACAAACAAAAAAAAAAAAAAAACAACAAAAAAATCTTACAGCGGGGATCTGAAGATGAAGAACCAGAAGGCCTGTCCTAATTTCCCAGAAGATGACACTTAAAGTTTAAATAAGCTAGGAAACGGTCAGCATTTAGGAAGCTGAGTCAGAAGGCTCACCACACTTTCAAGGCTAAAATGCTCACATGGTGAGTTCGAGATCATCCAGAACTACAGCATGTGAGTCTGTCACAAAACAATTCCAGATGTGGCGGTGCAAGCCTTTAATCCTAGCACTCAGTAGGCAGAGGAGGGCCGCTCTGCTACCAAGTCCCAGAGAGAGCTAAACAGTGAGGCCCCGCCTAAAGCAAAAAATCCAATAAATGAGCAAATACGCTAATAGTGGACAGAGACTTACAAACCAGTAAGGAGGAATAGCAATGGTTTTCCAGTTCATTTGCAAAAATACACTTTTAAAGACAATAAAACTATACACTCAGTTGGGCGGTGGTGGCGCACTCCTTTAATCCCAGCACTCCGGAGGCAGAGGCAGGCGGATCTCTGTGAGTTCGAGGCCGGGCTGGATAGCCTCCAAAACAATACAGAGAAACCCTGTCTCGTAAAAAACAAAACAAAACACAAACAAACAAACAAACAAAAACTATACACTCTTCTGACTTTCCCAATGTCAACTGTAATAAAAAATTTTGCCAGGCTTTTCAGTGACGCCGAAAAGGCAGAAACCAAACACACCGAAGAGGGGCTGAGTTACCGAACCCTGCCTCCTCCTGAAATCAGTTCTCAGCGCCGTTCCCCTCGAGAGTGGCGTCCTAGGGCGGGCGGGTGGAGTCTCTCCGAGGCCACGGCCGGGACAGTCGGGCGGAGGCGCGCCGTGTCGCAGTCCTGCGGGGACCGCTCGCTCCCCGCACGTGATAACGCCCGGGGAACCTGCGCCCGAGCGCTCGGCATTCAGAGGAAGGTCGGGAGCCACTCCGGAGCCGGCCTCGTGACGTCGCCAGCGCTAGCCAATCAGAAGCTCGGACTGCAGGGAAGCCCCGGGCGGCGGGGGCCGCCAGGGCGCGTGCGCACGGGCTCCGCGTGGCTATATAAACATGGCTGGCCGAGGCGCACCGCGGGCGGTGCGGAGCGCGCGTGTGGGCGCCGCCGGACGCTGCGGGTCTGTGGGGTTTTGAAATTTCTGGCGGGGAAGCGTCCAGCGCCAGCTCCCCGGGTGGGAACCGAAGTGACGCCCCGAAGGAGCTGCCGGTCCGGGCGTTTCTGCGGCGGGGACCGGGAGCGGGCTGAGGCGCGCACGTGCGGGCGCCGCTGAGGGAGTGCCCGGTGGTGTCGCCGCCGGCCGGGCCCGGAGCGCGCGTGTGCCCCGCGATGCTGCGGTGCCCGGACTGCGCCCGACTCGGTTGTCGCCTGCCCCGGCTCGCCTCGCCTCAGCTCCGGGAAGGGCAGCGCCGCTGCCGCTGAGTCCCCGAGGGGATGCCGGCGGGCCTCACGGAGCCGGCCGGCGCCGCCGCTCCGGTGGTCGCGAGCGCCTCGGGGGCGGTGACCGTGGCCCCCGCCGCCGCCGCCGCGCTGCCCGTGCGGGTGGAGGGCACCCCGGTGGCCCTGGGCCCCGTGACTAAGCCTCCTGTCAGCGTCTGCGTCGAGTCCGCGGCGCCCCAGCCCCTGCCATCCCCGGTGGGGACCCTAGTGACCAAAGTGGTTCCTGTCACTGCTCTTCCTAAACTCGGCGGCTCCAGGCTGCCCGCTCCTCAGATCGTCACCGTGAAGACTCCGGGCGCCACCACCATCCAGCTGCCCGCTAATTTGCAGCTGCCTCCAGGTAGGTGGATCAGCTCTGCTCGCCTGAGGTGACTCGGGGACGTGGCAGCCCCCCAGTTTAACTCCGGGGAACTTAGAGCCGGGGGAGCCCGTCGGGATGTCGGTGTTGCGGCGAGCGTGCGGGCGGCGATTTGGCCTCACCATTCCTGTAACCTCTAGCTTCATTACTGCATTTTCGTTTCTAAGAAAACGATCTTAAGTGGCACAGTCAGACCTGGAAGATGCACTTTCTAGACGGCCCTGGAGGCGTTGGCTGGCACCAGGATGGGGGCATAGTTAATCTTCATGTGGAAAAAGGATGAGTAAAAGATTGTAAAGATTGTTTTTAAAACAAAGTTTTTTCAAACTTAAGGCGAAGAGGTTTTTTGACTTAAGCAAGTTACAGTAAGTTTACAGCAGACGTGATTAAAGTCGTCGTGTCCCCCCACCCACGTACCCTTCATCCCCCCCCAGTTGAGAAAGGATCCTTTGTAGCCCACGCTGGTTTTGAGCTCCCCTGTGTTTGGGAGGATGACCTTGAACTCCTCATGTTTCCTACCAACACCTAGGATAACTTGTGTATGCCTCAGCACCTGACCAAACGATGCTTTCTACTTAGATGTGCAGTAAGTGTAATTTTAAATTAGAAGATTCTTTTTGGTAGGGAGCAAATGCCTGGGTTGACAGATCTGAGTGGTGTAACTCTTGTATTTAATGCGATGCGTGAGTGTTAATGAGTGTTTGCTTTTTATTCATTGGAGACTTGTGTTGGGCTGTTTTCCTTTGTGATGATTTAAATATTGTAAATGTTTGTTGTGTTATCACGTGTTCCTTAGTTGAAAAATACCTTGGAATTTGTTTTATGTTAATTTTGCCAAGCAGAAAGTGATAATCGAACATGTTGATAGTGCTAAAAAAATAATCTGGCAAGACAAGTGTGCCAGAATCATGCTTAAACTGGATGGTGGTGACACACACCTTTAATCCCAGCTCTCAGGCGGCAGAGGCAGGCAGATCTGTGAGTTCAGGGCCAGCCTGATCTGCAGAACCACTGAGGTCTAGGACTACCAGGGCTACACAGAGAATCCCTCCCCCCACCTCCACCTGCAAAGGAGAGCCATTATTTGGATGTTAAGGATATTGAAACATTAATCAAAAAGATTTCTTTAGTAATAAAAGGAGATAGATTTTTTTTTTTTTTGGTGGGGAAGGGGAGTGTATAGAATAGTTTTATGTCACCTTCACACTACTAAAATCCTGTGAAAGGAGGGAGCCTCATTTGAGGAAATGCCTTCATAAAATAGGGTTGTAGGCAAGCCTGTAGGGCATATTCTTAATTAGTGATTGATGGGGCAGGCCCAGCCCGTTGTGGGTGGCCAGCCCTGGAATGGTGGTTTTGGGTTCTGTGAGAAAGCAGGCTGAGCAAGCTGTGAGGAGCAAGCCAGTAAGCAGCACTCCTCCAAGGCCTCTGCATCAGCTCCTTCCAGGTTTCTGTCATGCAGAAGTTCCTGTCCTCACCGCTTTTGGCAATAAACTTTATATGGAACTGTAAGCGAAATAAACTCTCTTCTCCCTAAGTTGCTTTGGTCATGGTGTTTCATCATAGCAATAGTAACCTGAAATAAAACCAGAAACTAATGCTGTATTTGGTTATGGGCATCCTGGGCACATTTTGTTCTGCACATTTCATAAAACTCTTTTGGTACAAGTGGAGTACATAAGGTACCTCCATTTGTGAAAAGCAGTAGTCACTGGATACAGGGTTTTCCAGTTCTAAATTTCTATCCTGCCTGCAGTCTTACAAAGCAATAGTGAATATATTTGAATGAAATTACCTGCTGATTTGTTACAATATACATTCCTGTCTAGTCATTGAAAGTTTTTGTTAAGAAACAGTCAAAAAAGTATTAAGATAGAAAATTGTCAAGAGGGAAAGCTTGTTGATAAATTGTAGCCAATTATTTACTGAGGACTTGCCATTCTAGTCACTTTTTTTTTTTTTTTTTTTTTGGTTTTTTTTCGAGACAGGGTTTCTCTGTGGCTTTGGAGGCTGTCCTATAGCTCTTGTAGACCAGGCTGGCCTCGAACTCACAGAGATCCACCTGCCTCTGCCTCCCAAGTGCTGGGATTAAAGGCGTGCGCCACCAACGCCCGGCTCATGCTAGTCACTTTTATTCTCTCCTCATAATGTGCTGCTAACAATAAGGAAAAAAAGTCTGTTAGGATAGATACTTGCCTAATGTCAGTCATGTAACTCACAGGAGTGGATTTGAATCCAGTATAAAATGTATAAAATGCTGTGGTTACCACATGAATATTTACAGTATACTTCATGGAACATGAGTGCTGAAAGGTAACCTAAAGATTTCTGAGTAAAAACTTGTGTTTTCTAAATTAAGAAACCCAATCATTTTGTAGACCAGGCTGGCCTCGAACTCACAGAGATCTGCCTACCTCTGCCTCCCGAGTGTTGGGATTAAAGGCGTGCACCACCAACGCCCGGCTTATATCTTGTAATTGGAATATTTGTCCAGGTCTGAGGGTACTCAACCCTTTAATTTGAGCACTTGGAAGTTCAGAGGCCAAGCTTAGGCCTATAATTGCAGTGAAGAGGCTGAGGCAGGAGGATTGCCTCATGTTTGAGGCCAGCTTGGCTTACAGTGAGTGCAGTGTGAAACCCTGTCTCAAAACTAGGAGCTAGGCAAATGACTTGGCTGCCAAAAAAGCACTAGCAACAAAAGCATGAATTTGTTCCCTTAATACAGTGCTGCAACTCTTTAATATTGTTCCTTATGTTGTGGTGACCCCCGACCATTAAATTATTTTGTTGCGCTGGGTAGTGGTGGTGGCGGCGGCTGCGCACGCCTTTAATCCCAGCACTGGGAGGCAGAGGCAGGCGGATCGCTGTGAGTTCGAGACTGAGCTGGACCGACAGCCTCGAAAACAATACAGAGAAACCCTGTCTCGTAAAAACCAAAAAAAATTTTTGTTGCTACTTCATAACTAATTTTGCTTCTGTTACGAATTGTAAATATCTGCTATGCAGGATATCTCATATATAACCCTTGTGAAAGAGTCATTCCACTCCCAAAGGGTCAGACCGACAGATTGAGAGGCAGTGCCTTAACTGAACCCATGTGAACAGCTGGATGCTGTGGTACACATCTTTAATCCTTGTTTTCCTAAAGTGGATCATACTCAAAGACAGGAAGAGAGGACATTGCTTCAAAACAAGGCAGTAGGCTAGAAATGACTCCCCGAAAGTTATCCTCTGCTTTTTATATACATGCTTCTTTACACACTAAATAATCTTAAACAGAAACATGTTTAAACATGTACAACTACAGGTTTTTTAGGGAGTATAGTCTAAAAATAAAATATAAGAGGGCATTTGTGGGGAACTAGAAGGTTCCTGCCTTCCGTTTCAGTATTTTCTTTAGTTAACATGCAGGACTTTTAGGCCCAATTGTGGCCATTTCTGAGTCTGTTTAATACATAGTGTCAGGCATGGTTCACTTTTCTTTCTTTTCTTCTTTTTGTACCTGTAATTATCCTTCCAGAGAAAGTGACAGCAGTCAATTTTGCCCTAGTTTGTGTCTCCAGTCTTCCTACTACAATGGTACTATTACACAGCTTAGTATTACTGCTTGCTTTTGCTCTAGTTTTAGTGCAGCCATAATACACTCTTTGTAATACAGGCTGACTTTAGCTTCCCTAGTTTAGGATTACAGGCATTCTGGGATTACAGGTGTGATTTACCATTCCTAGCTTCCAGAGTTGTGTATAATGTATAGATTTTTGACTGTGCTAGGGATTGAATACAGGGCTTTGTGTGTGCTAAGCAACTGGTCTACTGCTGAGCATCCTCAGCTTTCTTAGTTTTAAACACAGGCTTCTAGGCTGAGCATGGTGGTGCACACCTGTAATCCCAGCACACAAGAGGCAGAGGCAGGCAGATCTCTGAGTTTGAGGCCAGCCTAGTCTACATAGTGTGTTCTAGGACAGCCAGGCCTATGTATAGACACTTTGTATTAAAAAAATCCCAAATCATAATAGTAATAATAATAATAACAATAGTACCAGCTTCACTGAAATATTTTTATAATTATATTTCAAAATTAGAACAATTGTTGGGCGCTGGTGGCACACGCCTTTAACCTCAGAATTCAGGAGGCAGAGGCAGGTGGAACTATGTTTGAGGCCAACCTGGTCTACAGAGTGGGTTCCAGGACAGCCAGAGCTACACAGAGAAATGCTATTACAGAAAATTAAAAAAACAAAACAAAACAAAGGAACCTATTTTCAGTGAATGTTGAAATTTTTTATTTAGCCACCTAAAAAGTGTAGTCTTTGAAAGAAAATGTATATATGCCTTCTCTATTCTGTGATACTATTTTTATGTCTGCTTTTCACTTACTGTTATATAACAATTTCTGTTATGAAGTCAAAAGCTTAATATTTATCAATGTTCTCTCCACTGGAGACAAGGTGTTGACATGTAACCTAGAATAGTTTTGATCTTGTGATCCTCTTGCCTCTGTGTTCTCCCATACCCAGCAAAAGCTGCATGTTATTTATTTACTATACTTTTGGGCAGGGTGCTCACTTGGAAGTTAGAGCACAGCTTGTAGGAGTCAGTTCTCTTCTACCATGTGAGTGCCAGGTCTTTAATTCATGTATTCAGGCTTGGTGGTGAAAATATTTAATTTTTAATGACAGCATAATTTACTATTTAATAATTCCCTTATTGTCCATTTAGGTTGGTGTATCAAGTTCCCAGGACTGCCAGAGGTACATAGTCAAAACCCTGTCTCAAAACTAAACAACAACAACAAAAAAGTCTGTAGAAGCCAGTCAGTGGTGGCACACACTGTTTTTTGGTTTTTTTTTTTTTTTTTGGTTTTACGAGATAGGGTTTCTCTGTATTGTTTTGGAGGTTGTCGGTCCAGCCTGGCCTCGAACTCACAGAGATCCGCCTGCCTCTGCCTCCCGAGTGCTGGGATTAAAGGCGTGTGCCACCACCACCCGGCAAGTGGCACACACTGTTAATTCTAGTACTCTTGGCAGAGTCAGATGGATCTCTGAGTTTAAGGCCGACATGTTTTACAGAGGGAATTCCAGGACAGTCAAGTCTACACACAGAAACCCTGTCTTTTGTGTGTTTCTTTTAAAAAGTAATTGTTACTATAAATTTACCAGGTTTATCAATTTACAGTTGTTCAGAATTTTCTCTATGGTTAGCTGAGAAACAGAATGCCTGCTGAACAGCCGCAGTGCTTGGCTATAAAGTTACAGTGGGGAGAATAATGAGGCTACACTCTGTACAACTGGGTGCTGAGGCCAAGTGGGAAGTACTGCTCCCTCAGTCTCAGTCTAGTCTTTACACATGTTAGTAATTTCTGAGTAGTCCTTTTGCCTGCCCTCCCTCCCTCCTTCCCTCCCTCCCTCCCTCTCTCCCTCTCTCCTTCCTTCCCTCCCTTTCTTCTTCCTTCCTTTCTCTCTGTTTACCTTGGCTGTCTTGGAACTCACAGAGATCCTCCTGCCTCTGCCTTCCAATACTGGATAAGGTTAAAGGCCTCTGTCACCACACTCTGCAAGTTTGTCAGTTTTGATAATCTTTTCAAAGAGCCAAGTTTTAGGTTCATTAGTTTTTCTCAATTATTTTTGTTTCATATTACATTTATCTTTGTTATAATCTTTATCATTTCTTGATTGTAATTGTTTTAGTTTTTATTTTGCTCTGCTTCCAGTGTCCCAAGGTGAGGGATGTTAATGGTTTGAGATTTTTTAAAGATAGACATTTGTGGCAGATATTGGTGGTGCACGCCTTTAATCCCATCACTTGGGAGGCAGAGGCAGGTAGATCTCTGTGAGTTCGAGACCAGCCTAGTCTACAGAGGGAGTGCCAGGATAGGCTCCAAAGTTACACAGAGAAACCCTGTCTCAAAAAACCAAAAAAAAAAAAAAAAAAAAAAAAAAAAAGGTATTTGTAGCTATAAAGTTTCTTGTAAATATCACATTGATTACACTCCACAAATCTTAATATTTCATATTTCATTATCACTTATCTCTGTATGTTTTCTGATTTCCTTTTTGTTTTTAAAATTGATCCATTAGTTTTTTTTAGGAATGTGTTGTTTAATATCTTTATATTTGTAAATGTATTAACCCTTCTGTTATATCTACTTTCATCCTATTGCAGTTGGGCACAACACATTTATAATTTCAGTAATTTAAAATTTATCATGACTTATTCTGTGTACTAATGTGCATGTTCTTTTTTTGTTTTAGATGTGTTATTTATGAATCTGTGTGTTTCTCTGTGTTTTGATATGTGTACATGAAAGCACATATGTCCCCCGGAGCTATAGTTTTAAGTCTCCTGATGTGGTTGGTGTTCCATGCTGCTGATGAACTCAGGGTCTTTTGAAAGAGCACCAAGCGGTCTTAACCTCTGAGCCATCTCTCCAGTGTCCTCTGCCACTGTGTAGTACTGATTGGCCTGGACTTTGTTTGACTAAACAAACCAGGCTGACCTTGAGTATCTCCCTTCATTTTCCTGAGTGCTAGAATTACAGGTGTATACCATCACACCCAGTTTAAATAGTTCATGGTTAATTTTATTCTCTGTACACAATCTTATTGTGGGGTAAAATATACTCTGAATGTGTGCTAGGTTGAGTTGATTCATACTGCTTTTCAAATCTTTGTCTTCCTCATTGGTCTCCTGTGAGTTTTTGGTGGTGGTGCTAAGCTTGTCCTTAGGGCCTTGTATAAGATAGGTATATTCCCGTATAATTTGTTTAGTTCTAAATATTTAGTGAAAATGGCAATTTTACAAATGTTGAACTATTTTTCTTGTCATTTAAAATTTTTTGTATGTATTGTATGCTTTGTAGTTTTGTTACTTGTGATAGAATCTGATTGTTGTTTCTATATTCTTGTCTCTTATTCAAGGAATGATATAAAGGAGATACACACAGGGTGCAAAGTAACAAACTTTATTCTAAAGCAAAGCCATAGTGTATATTAGAGAGAGACACTATCATTATTCACAGCAAGTACTACTGAACATCCATCCATCTTAATGAGGTTTTATGGTATCAGTATCATCAAGGAAAAAGTATTTTGCCTACTTCAGGAATATTATTTTCATATGCTTATATTTAAACAATTTTGTATAGCTAATTCTTACTTTTTAAAGATAGGCTCTTACTGTGTACCTCTATCTGGTCTTGGGCCTGTATTCCTTTTGGCTTGGCTTCCTAGTCTTAGAATTACAAGTGCGTCCTGTATGCTCAGCTTAAATAGTGAAATTATTTTGTCATCTTATCATAATTAGTGAACAGGGCATTCATTATATGTTAGGCATTTTTCCTAGTATTTCCAAGTGTTGAAATGGGAAACAAAAGTATGTGATGCTTGTGTTCATTTATCAGCTTTAGAGTCACAATTGCTTTTCTTTTAATTATAGGAACAGTTTTGATCAAAAGTAACAGTGGTCAGTTGATGCTGGTATCTCCTCAGCAAGCTGTGACAGGAGCCAAGACCACAAGTAACATAACTCCAAGGCCAGCAGTACCAGCAAACACTCAAACAGTCAAGATCTCTACAGTGCCGGTAATCTACCTTAATTTTCTTAGTTTCCAGCTACTATCTTCATATAAACGTGGACATGTTTGCCAGTAAAAATTTGAGATAATTTTGCTCAATTTTTAAAGTGCCAATTTAGTTTTGATACTTGGTAATTGGTAAAATAATGAAAACTGTACCTTCATACTTTGTGATTTTATTGTCCCCAAAGGAATTGTTCAAGAGGCAGTATGTGTCTGCTGAAAAAAACTATTCTGAGTTGAGGTCTTGGAATGTGTGTGCACGTGGTTGTGTACCTGCATGTGTGTTCCTATGAGTATATGCAGGCCAGAGGCTCATATCCATTGGGTATTCCTCAGTTGTGTAATTGAGACAGGTTTCTCATGTAACCCAGAGTTCACAGGTGGACTAGACTGACTTATCAGCCAATTCCCAGAGTACTCCTGTATTTGCCTCCCCAGAAATCCCCCCACCTGTTTGTTTTGTTGTTGTTATGTGTGTGTGTTTACTTTTTTCCTGGTGCTGGGGTCTGAATTCAGATCTTTATGCTTATGAAAAAAATCACTTTACTGAACGAGCCATCTCCCTATCTCTGTTTCACATTAATTTGTAGTTAGTATACTTTTTCATACATATGTTAAATTACTTCCAGGACATATAGAAATCTGCTTTAACATTTCATTAGTTTTCCCTTTTTTGAAGTGACTTTTTTTATATATAGATGTTGATCTTTTTATGTTACTGAAATTTAGTTTGTATTAGTGAATTTAAAAGTATTCTTATGAACATCTGTCTTAGTTAGGGTTTCTATTACTGTGAAGAGACACCATGACCATGACAGCTCTTATAAAGAAAAACATTTAATTATCACCATGGCAGGATATGGCAGCATGCAGGCAGACATGTTGCTTGGGAAGTAGCTGAGAGTTCTACATCTGGATCCACAGGCAACAGGAAGAGAGTCACACACTGGCCAGGCTTGAGCATCTGAGACCAAAAAGCCTGCCCCAAGTGACACGCCTCTTCTGACAAGGCCACACCTCCTAATAGTGCCACTCCGTATGGGCTTGTCAGGGCCATTTTCATTCAAACACAACAGCATCTTTATTTAACTCAGAAATGTTGGTGTTGGGGTGATAGTTTGGTTGGTAAAGTATTTGTAGCCCGGGCTTGAGAATTTGAGTTTGATCTCCAACACTCACTAAACAAATGCCAGGTGCTATTGAATGCACCTGCAATCATAGCATTAAAGTCAAGAGGCTTCCAGGGCTTTCTGTCCCAGCCAGTGGAGCCAAATTCAAGAGTTCCAGGGTGTGAGATACTGTCTTGAAAATTAAGGTAGAGAACAATTGAGGTAGATGTCCAGTGTCTGTCCTCTCTCTCCCTTTCCTCTTTCTCCTTTTTCTTTTTATAACTTTGTTATTACATTTTGTGTGTGTGTGTGTGTGTGTGTGTGTGTGTGTGCACGCGCGTGCGCAGGGGATAATATGCATACCATGGCTGCACTTGTAGAGGTCAGAGGACAACTTTCAGAAGTCACTTCTCTTCTACCAGGATGGATCTCAGGTCATCAGGCTTGGTGGCAAGCTCTTTTACTTTTTGTGCCATCTTACTGGTCCTACTTCCAATTTTGATTACTAGTTGCTCAATTAGTTTTATTTTCTCTGTCAGTAATACATTTTCCTTCTAATTTGGTTTATCTATGGGTTAACAGATTTTTGTTTATAATTAAATGAGAATGGGCATGTTTTCTGTATAACAAATTAAGTTTAAGATTTTATTTTCTTATTGTATGTATGATATGTATGTATGAGTGTGGGTGCATACATGCTACAGTGCTCATATGGTGGTCAGATAACCTTTAGGATTGAGTTCTGTCTTTGCCATGGGTTCTGGGGATCATACTCAGATTGTCTGGGTTGCATGGCAAGAACTTTTATCCCCTGAACAGTATTCTTGGTCCAAGTTTAACACTTTAATGCTGACTGTTGTAGATCTTACTTTATTGGAAAATTAACATAAAAGAAAAGGTTATTTTTGAATCAGTTGCCTCTTTAAGAATTGTCAGCTGGCAGAATGTTCATAAAATACAGTACATAGAAAATACATTTGCTAAAGTGTTTTATTTTGTTCACAATGCTGACTGATTTGAAATGATTAATATTGACTGGGTGTGGTGGCAGGTACCTTGAGGCAGAGGCAGATAGAGCTCTGTGAGTTCCATGCTATTCTGGTTTATGTATTGAGATCTAGGCCAGCCAAGGCTACATAGTGAGACCCTTTCTCAATAAAACAAAATAAAAAATGAAAGAAAAAAAAATCACAAATGACTAGTATCAATAACTTTGTTTTATTGTCCTTTTCCCTCAAGAATTCTAGCTCGCAATTAACGAAGAAAGTAGCCGTTGCTCCTGTTAATAATTTGACACAGATAGGAACTACTTTGACAACCACTGCCTCCAGTGTTTCTTCAGGACAAGTAAGTGGGGTGTGTATGTGCGCGTGCTCATGCGGCTAGTTCTTTTCTCACTATTATGCAATTATTTCTTGCCAGATATTTGCCTATCTGACACTGAAGGCATATAATATACAGTGCAGTTTATCAGATTGTGAACCATTGAAGATGTAGAAACAAGAAAAAGTGATATCTTATTATTAGACATCCATTGCATAAATGCATTAAAGTAATATAAATGCATCTAAAAACCATGTGTTACAGTTTCCAGAAGGAGGTGCTAAAATAGAATATGATAGATAAGTTATCTTTTAGGAGTCAATACTTGTAAAGAGAAGGAGAGCATGTTTAGGTTAGATTCATGGGTGTTGAAGTTTTAGCTAACCTAATAGAGAATGTTAGGGCATATGTACCTTGTTAGCATTGTCCCACTGTGAGTCAAACATGCTCTGCTGGACTTTACTGCACTCTCCTGGGAAAATTGTACTTTCATGCAAGGTCTTTTCTTTGCAGCAGAGACAATATGTGTCTACCAATAGAATTATAGCAGCCAAGTCAGTACAAGTCTCTCCTTGCAATGGTTCATTGACATTTACGTCTTATGTCACTTGTTACATGTTACAGACAACTGTCCTGGGATGCTAGTGGACTTCTTTCCTTTGGAAGCAAAGAAGTTAAAAGGATAGACTATGTAGCCTTACTCCTGCGGCCTACACTAAATCATGTCAGTTCTCCTCTGTCCAACTTACATTACCCTCACTCTCACCTACTGGCTATGGTGGTCTTGGGAATTACCTAGTATAATCATATTTTCTTCTTAGATCTCTGTGTATTCTTCTGTGGATATGTTCCTGCCCTAGTTTTATGTTTTTCTCCACGTAGATAGCACAGATTGAGTTATTTATGATGAATACAAGTTTGTTTGACTCATGATTCTGGAGATGGGAAGTCTAAGATCATGGTGTCATTATCTGGGGAGAGCCTTGTCCTATGGTGGATACCCTTTATCAAGAGAGTATCTTGTCCCATGAAGAGGAGAGGTAACACAGAGGAAGGGAATGGTGGGAGCTGAACTTATTTATCTTTTCATTAGGATGCTTCTCCTAGGAATGAATTCCCACTCCTTTAATAGCAGCCTTAATCCATTTACAATTAAAAAGTACCCATATCCTGATCACTTTTTAAAGGTCTCATTTCTTGATTGCAGTGTACTGACAATTATATTTTAATATGAGTTTTGGAAGGGATATTTGAACCAAAGATGTGATAGCAACTCTACGTCTTTTCAGATGATTAGAGTTAATTACCCACCTCTCTGAAGGTTCAGACTCATCTTTTCTGCTGCTCAGTCCCTGATGTATATAGGCACCTGAAATACCAGGTGGCAGCTGTAGTGTCTAGTTTCCTAAGGGAAATGTGTCCCCATGAGCAGAAATTGAAAGCGAGTCTCCCAGGAGTTATAAGGACTGAGTAAGGGTCTATTCCTAAGTTCCTTGATCCATGTATTTGTTCTACCCTGGGGGGACAAAGTACCATGTAGGATGTTTTGACTGAGTGATCACTCTTGAGTCTTGTTGGATAGAATCCCATCCCTAATAAGAGTATCGACCCAGTTTATCTGTGCCTGCTATAATCTGTTCTACTACTCTGCTATGTTGGCAGCTTCTGAGTAGTGCTGTATGTGAGTCACTAGTGGGTTCCATGGTCCGGAGAACATTGTCATATTTCCTTCTGTCATGAAGAGAATGTATCTTTCTGGTGCTTACCTAGATAGAATACTGTCCTGATAGATCAGTCCCTCTGTTGGTGTTCTAAAATTTATTTGATCATACTCCTTTTACATATTTTCTTTTCTACTAATTGGGGTCATAAGCAGCAAATCTGATTTAAAACAGTACTTTAAAAAATAATGGCTATCTGCTTATCTTGCAATCCATTAACCACCTCATTTCATCCTTGTTAATTAGAATACTATCTTTATCTATATATGTGACAATAGGTTAGAGAGGCTAAGAAACTGATTTCTATGTTGAAGAATGGGGATTTCAGCCTAGTCTTAATTCTGGAAATTATTCTAAAACTAGAGTACTGAGTAGGCCTGACTGTAGATTTTCTCTAGAAAGTATGTATTTTTCTACTAATAGGCGTCAGTGTTTGTTTAAAACGACTTGTTGACATAACACAAAAAGCCTACTTTGAAACTTTGTGTTCAGTATTTATGTTTAATGATGAAGATATAATTAGGCCTATTGTTAAGAACATAAATGTCTAAATGATCTAATTTAGAATTAGTATTTCATCATATTTCCCTTTTGATTTTTCAAGACAGGGTTTCTTTGTATAACAGCTCTGGCTGTCTTGGAACTTGCTTTGTAGATATGACTGCCCTCAAAGTTAGAGATCTGTCTGCCTCTGCCTTTGCCTCCTGAATGTTGGGATTAAAGGCATGGACCACCACTGCCCAGCTAGACTTAGTATTTCTAATTGAATATGAACAAGCCTAATGCAATTGCACTTTCAGACAGGTACAGAAAGTGATCTCCTTGAAATGTAGCATGATCTAGTAAACATAAATTATTTCACACAGATCCGTTTCACATATAATCCAGCTATTTTCTGCTATCTCCAATATGTTTAATTAATACAATTTAATCTTGCTAATATTGGAAATACCATTGCCTGACTGCTCTAGAGTATTAGATTCTAAGACATAGTTATGACTGAATTTAAGAACGTCTATTCAATACTGAAGTGGGAACATCAGGGTTAAGTATCTCCCTATGCCTTTATAGATCAGCATAGAAGTTACACATGTTTGGTAAAGAACAGAGAGTAGCTTATATTAGAAAGGATTATGAAAGATAACTTTGTGTTAGGGTATGTTATTTTTTCCATCATTGCAAAAAATAACTGAGGTAAATCAATTGGAAAAGTTTTATTGTGTCTCACAGTTTTGTAGATTTTAGTCCATCATCTATAGGCCCTGTAGTGACACAGTGTAAATCATGTGTGTGATGCAGGGTGCAGTGTAGTGAGTCTTTCTTTGTACCACCAACTCCCAAGTAGTAATAATAATATGGAGACTTATTAATTATGGAAGGCTGTCCTTTAACTTAGGCTTGTTTCCAACTAGCTCTTATAATTTAACCCATATTTTTAAATCTATATTCTGCCACATGACTTTTTACCTTTACTCAATATGGCATCTCCAACTTGGAAAATCACATCTCTTCTTCCCAGAGTCGTCTCTCTCCCTGGAAGTTCCACCTATTCTTTCCTGCCTAGCTATTGGCTGTTTCACTCTTTATTAAACCAATCAGAAGGTGCCTTAGGCAAAGACTTATCTTTACAGTGCACAGAAAGATTATTGCACATTAGGGTAGTTCCATTTTATAACAGGAACCCAAAGACAGAAAGAAGTGACTACCAATAGTCCCTTTAAGAGCACACCTCTAATGACTGGTCACTAGGTTCCATTTCCCCAATGTTCTGTCACCGCTCAATAGTGTCATTTGGCTGGGCTACAAGCTTTAAGAGTATGGGCTTTTGGAGATCATTTAAGAATTAAACCAGAACATGGTGGAAAAGATGAAAAAAATATTGACAAGGAAGTAAAATTCTACGAATATTTCCTCTGCTCACAGACAGCAGAACACTGCATGAGCTTACATGTCAATGGAAACTGTTTGCTTCATACACAGTGGACAGTACTGCTCTGAGGAACCACCCCCACCAGGCATTAAAAGCCATCATAATCACTAGTTAAAGTTAAAAGCCACACTTTTCTAAAGGCAGTACTATAGATTATATGGCTAATTACTAATTTTGAAATAGGATCTCATGTAGTCCAGACTTGCCTTAAACCTACTGTATAGCAGAGGTTGACCTTAAACTACTCATTCTCCTAATTTTCACCTCCCAGTGATAGGATTTCAGATATGTGAAACACTTTTATTTCGGAAGAGCCTTACTGTTGCAAACATAAACATTTAATAGTCTTCAGAAGGATTCAGAAGCCACGTCAGTACTTGTCTCTGAAAAATGTTGAAGAGTTCAGATTGGGGAAAGAATTAACTTGGATGTTGTGTTTGAAGCTTTGTGTTTAATGAAATTGGATTTTATTTGAAAAATCATTCTTTTTTTTTCCCCCGAGACAAGATTTCTCCATATTGTTTTGGAGGCTGTCTTGGAACTCACTCTGTAGACCAGGCTGGCCTCGAACTCACAGAGGTCCGCCTGCCTCTGCCTCCCGAGTGTTGGGATTAAAGGTGTGTGCCACCAACGCCCGGCTGAAAAACCATTCTTTAAAAAATTTATTTTACATGTATGCATGCTTTGCCTGCATGTATGTGTATGTACTGTCTGTGTTCATGTTTGTAGAGGCCAGAAGAGAAGGTTGGGTCACCTGTAACTAGAGTTAGAGACAGTTGTGAACCACCTTGTAAGTGCTAGGGATTGAGCCCAGGTCCTCTAGAAGAACAACAAGTGGTATTAACCACAGAACCATCTCTCCTTAATTGTACCCAGAATTTCATCATTGGTTTTAGTCACCATTAACCAATATTTTTAATTTGCTTCCCATTTTATCAGATCATCTGTCTGATGTGTGTGCCTGATATGTTTATCTGAAGGGAAAATATGGGTTTCCATTCACCTATCTTGTTTTGTACAAAAGGAACTTTTCTCTTTTAAATTGTAAGCAATTATTTTTTTATTTTAATTTTTTAAATTAATTTTACATACTAACCACAGGTCCCCTCTCCCTTCCCTCCTTCTGCTACCTCATCCCACCTCCTATCCACTCCTAGGAAAGGGTAAGGCCTTCCATGGGGAGTCAACAAAGACTGACACATTCAGTTGAGGCAGTGTCAAGCCCTTCTTCCCTGCATCAAGGTTGAGCAAGGCATCCCACCACAGGGAATGGGCTCCAAAAAGCCAGCTCAAACACGAGGGATAGATCCTGGTCCCACTGTCAGGGGCCTCACAAACAGACCAAGCCACACATGTGTCACCCATATGCAGAGGGCCTAGTTCTGTCCCATGCAGGCTCCTCAGCTGTTGGTCCAGAGTCTATGAGTTTCGGCAGACTCAGGTCAGCTATCTCTGTGTGTTTCCCTGTTATAATTTTGACACCCCACACACCCCTTGCTCATGTAACCCCTTCTTCCTCTCCACCTGGACTCCTGTAGCTCACCCTGGGTCTTGGCTGTGGATCTTTGCATCTGGTTCCATCAGTTACTGAATGAAGGCTCTATGATGACAGTTGGGGTAGTCACCAATCTGATTACAGCAGACGGCCAGTTTAGGCACCCTCTCTACTATTGCTAGGAATCTTAGCTGGACTCATTCTTGTAGACTCTGGGAATTTTCCTAGTACCAGGTTTTCCCCTAACCCCATGATAGCTCCCTCTATGAAAACATCTCTTTCATTGTTTTCCCACTCTGTCCCTCCTTCAGCTTAACCATACTGTTTCCTCGTGTTCTCATCCCCCATCCCCTCCCCTCTACTTCCCCACTCCCCAAACTTTCTTGAGGAGAATGCAAGCATCTCAGTTAAAGTTATTCTGCAGATGTTTAGTCTTCTTTGTGCGCATTATTCCCTCTATCCTACTTTTCTTATGTTGGGTGATGTTTGTGTATTTGTTGCTTTATCTCTAGTTTTCTAATTTTGTACTTTATCTTATAGTTTTTCTGTGCTACATGGGGTGCTGGAGTCATGCCACCTCATTCTTACACATGTAAAAGTTAATGGACTTCCTTTCAGTGTGGAAATAAGACATTCCTTTCTTATGATGCTATTGTGCTTATTCTGATGGTCCACATGAGATCACTATAGCTGAGCATATGAAATTTAGTTGATAACTTTGTCCTTAAGAAAAAAACAGGAAAGTACATACAAAGTATGAAGATTTGCTATTACAAATACATTTTTAGAAAAGTGCAGATGTACATGTGTGTGTACTTGTGGTTGTGCATTTATGTGTTGTCTTGTGTGATCACCTGTGTATGCATGTGTGTTGAATAATGCTCTTACCTTATTTTAGACAGGGTTTCTTACTAAACCTGGAACTTGTCATTTGGCCTGTAGTGGCTGTCCACCCTACAAATACTGGAATTACTGGAGAACACCACCATGCTCAGCTTTTATGTGGGTGTTGATAATCAGAACTTAGTGCCTTATGCTTGCATTCAGCCATCTTCCCAGCTCCATTAATAATATATTTTAATTAACATTTTAAGGACTTTTTTGTGTGACACTGTTTTTCACAGACCACCCTAGGGACAGTAAATTTCATTCCTAATTTTGCTTTTGGGGATGGGTATCAGGTTAAGTAACTTGCTGTTAACTAATACTGTAGTAAATGACAATGAAGAGTAGAATTTTAGCTGGGAGTGAAATGAAGGTCAACTTTAGAGTTCAGATAAAGTGCCTTAGATTTTTAGAGTGCCATTTGAAAGCAGAGATGTCAAAATTCATTTGTAGTCCTTTCAGTGTAAAGTGAAGTTCCCAACTACGGTATCATAGCAATACATATTTAACTTTATGTTGACTTAATTTCAGTCTGTGGCTGTACCTCCTGTCAAGCCAGTGAATACTGTAGCCATCCTGAAGCCATCAAGTTTGGGAGCATTATCTACTCCCTCAAATGACTCCAATCTCAAAGCAGAGACCTCAGTAGCTGCTCAGACTAGTTTTTCTCCGGTAAACTTTCATTTGTATCTTGTATATAGTTTTTTGTTTCTGCTATATTCTCTTTCCTGTTTGCTAACATTTGTGATTATTTTTCTATATCAGACAGTCCTGGAAAATGTGAAAAAATGCAAAAACTTCCTTTCAATGTTAATAAAACTAGCATGTAGTGGATCACAGTCCCCAGAAATGGGACAGAATGTGAAGAAGCTGGTGGAGCAACTTTTGGTAAGTTAGGATTGTATACTTTTGCAAGCTTTATGAGAGACCACAGGACATGTTTCGAATGGGAAATGATGTTTCATATGAGATTTGTTTTAAATATACTTGCTAAAACCTTTTGCTTCATTAAAGCTTTGTAATCACTACAGTTAGAAAATCACTACATATAAAAAGTAAATCTTTAATGTGATAATTTTATCATATATCTTAGATAAACATGATAATATGAGCATATTTTTTGTTTACATTTATTTATTTATTATGTATACAGCATATGTTTGTATGCCCACAGGCCAGAAGAGGGCACCAGATCTCATTATAGATGGTTGAGAAACACCATGTGGTTGCTGGGACTTGAACTCAGAGCCTCTGGAAGAGCAGGCAGTGCTCTTATCCTCTGAGCCGTCTCTCCAGCCATAAGCATATTTCTTATTCCAATTTTCAATGTATATTTTGTGGACAGATAGCAACTCATCAAATAACCTTTTTAGTTTTACATCTATTACCTCAGACCAATAGACAGCGCTTCTCAAAATTTTGGTACAAAATACCTTAATATTCTTTTTCTTCTTCTTCTTCTTTTTGGTTTTTACGAGACAGGGTTTCTCTGTATTGTTTTGGAGGCTGTTGGTCCAGCCCGGCCTCGAACTCATAGAGATCCGCCTGCCTCTGCCTCCCGAGTGCTGGGATACCTTAATATTCTTAAAAATAAATAAGCTCTCAAGAATTTTTTTTGGCCCGGGACTTAAAGCTAAGTATTAAAGCTATTCATTAAGAATAACAAAACCATTGAATGTTAACATATGCAGTATTTAAAGAAAAATTATGATTTACAAATTAATGGAACTGAGTGGGAAATGACTGATTTGCATTTGGTAAATTTGATGCTGCATTTAATAAAAAGCAGCTGGATATTCTTTACTTATTCTTTTTTGTGGTGGGTTGTTGGTGAATTTGTTGTCAGAATTAGAGAATTATTGTCTTCTTCAAGAGAGGTAGTTAGAATATTGAGCATTTTAGTAGCCTTCTCTAGATCTTTGTGGATATTGTTTAGTCTACTAGTTAATTGTTATACTGTGAATGAATCTCTTTACTGATGTACAACTTTTGTAGTAACATGCATTGCTTAAAACAAAATGTTGATTCTTAGAACTATGTAGCTCTTCTAAAAGTTTCCATATATCTAATGTATTAAGGTAATTGATTCCTAATTTCACCCAAAATTTACATATGTACATCTGTATATAGCTATAGATCTGTCTCTGTATACCTACTCACATTCTTACATTGTGTGTGTGTGTGTGTGTGTGTGTGTGTGTGTGTGTGAGACAGACAGAGACAGAGAGACAGACTGTGGTGTGCATAAGTGTGTATGTACACAGAGGCCAGAAGAGGGTGTCAGGTATGGTATCCTTCTGTATTACTCTCTGTCATTTGTTTGAAGCAGGGTCTTTCATAGAACCTGGAGTTCATGACTTTTTTGCTAGGCTGGCAGTAAGCATGCCCTAGTAACCCTGTCTCTGCCCTGGTAGCCCTGGGGTTATAAGGCCATGGAGATTATATTTGATATGTTGATGTTGGAATCCAAACTCAGGTTTTTGTTTCACAACAAGCTCTTAACCACAAGCCACCTCTCTGTTATGTAAGTTTTCTTTGTTGCTTTTTGAGGTTCTCCGAGTAGCAATCCTGACGGTCCTGAACTTTGTAGACAAGGCTGGCCTTGAACTCAGGGATCTGCCTGCCTCTGCCTCCCAAATGCTGGGATTAAAGGCGGGCACCCACACTGCCAGGTTACCCATCCTCAGAGGAGTCTTTTAAGAAAAGCTTTAACTTGAAGCTATCAAGTTCAGAGAAAGTTATGTTTTCCAGAATTGTGATTCTTTGCATATTGGAATCTTTCCTCTCATGAAAACAATACTGTTTTCACTGTATTCTCTGAATGGATATGTCTACTTATTCATTTAGTTCTCTGGTGACATGAGATAAAAAGGCCTTCTAAAGGTGAAATTTACCACTTATGAAAAACTTGTCTATAATCATGTATTAAGTACTTTGCTTCATTTAAATTTTAAGAGACTGGCTCATTGCTGTCTCTGCTGGCCTTCAACTCCTCGTTAAAGTTATTTTCCTGTGTCAACATCCTGAGTAGTTTGCCTCACAGGCATTCACCACCGCACCTAGTTTTGTTTCTTAAAATATTTGTAGATTGAGGAGGCTGTGGTTGGAGAGACTGTGGTCAGGATTAAAATAAATTAATTAAATAAAAATTGTAGATCTAAAAGTGTCATCTTTCTCCCATTTCTTAGGATGCAGAAATTGAAGCAGAAGAATTTACTAGGAAACTGTATATTGAACTCAAGTCTGCACCTCAGCCACACCTTGTACCTTTTCTTAAGGTAGGGGTGTATCTCTTTGGAGAAAAAATTGTTTGGGTTAAATTACTTTAATTAATTAATTAAAAAAATTTTTTTGGTTTGTCGAGACAGGGTTTCTCTGCAATGTTTTGGAGCCTGTCCTGGAACTCGCTCGGTAGACCAGGCTTGGTCTCCAACTCACAGAGATCCACCTGCCTCTGCCTCCCAAGTGCTGGGATTAAAGGCGTGTGCCACCACTGCCCGGCTAAATTAATTTAAAATCTGAATGTTTTAATGTGCCTGGAAACCAGTGAGAATATACTAATGATGAATTCAACTTTAGCACTTTTGTAAAGTATATGGCAACATTCATAGTATTGATTTGAGCAGTTTAGAAAAACAGGCATAAAGTAACAAGAGAAATTCACTTGCATTTAGTTACTTGGGTGGGGGGCTTGTATCACATGTGTGGAGGTCAGAGGGCAGCTTGAATGAGTAGGTTTTCTTCTTTCCCATGGAGATTCATGGTATAGAATTCTGGTTGCCAGGTTTGGTGGCAAACACATTTACCATTTAGCCATCCCACTGTTTCCCCCCAAGAGGAGTAACATCTTACTCATCAATGTAATGTGATGACTTGATATCATATAATGTTTGAATTGGAGTATATGTAAAGATTTTTTTTGGTGTGTGTGTGTGTGTGTGTGTGTGTGTGTGTTGAGGTTGTGCATCTCCCTAAATTGCTCTCCACCTTATCTAGAGCACAGCTCATGGATGTGGCTAGTTTTATTAGCCAGTTTGCTTCAGGAATTCCTTGTCTCTGTGTATCAAGTGCTAGGATTTCAGTATATTTATATGGGTACTGGGGACTCAAACTCTTATTAGGTGCTTTTAAATTCTGAGTTATCTCTCTACTCTTCTTAGTTTCTTTTGAGATTGGGCTTTATGTATTCCAGGTTAGCTCCTACTTAACATGTAGCTGAACAGTATCTTGAGTTTCTATAATTCTGCCTCTACCTCCCAAGGGCTGGGATTGTAGATGTAAGCTAACATGCCTGACTTATGGGGCCAGGGTGAGGTCTTTATGATCCATATTAAAATAATAACCAAAATAATAGCCAAATTTAATATGGTTATAATTTAACTATTTTACTAGTGCCAAATTAAGTGTGATTATAATTTTTAAATAGTTTATATATAAAATTTTAATAATTTATAATGTTGACTTTCTTCTGAGTTACTGAAGTAAATTATTGTTGAAGAACTACATCTTTGATAACAAGAGCTTACTTTAGCAGAGTAAAAAAATGCATTTAAATTTTCAGAAGCTGAAAAGGAATTAAATTGAAATTATAAAGTCACTAAAGACCCAGTGAATTAAAAATTTGCTCTGTAAACATTGATGTAATAGAATGAGGAGTTGCCTTTAAGAATGTTGTGGTAATGATCCAGGAGAGATGAAAGACAGTACACAGGGAAAACTTGTTCTGCTTTATCAAAGATGAGTGGGAAGGAGGTGAGAACACCCCAGTTTCATAAGGATATTTAAACAATGGGAACTGTTTCTGAGTAAATGAGCAAATTGATTAGGTGGATATAAATCATGATAAAAGGACCAAAGAAACTGAAAAGTATTAGCCCAGTTTCAGCTTGCTTTTTCTTTGTTTTGTGACTCTAGTATATGGTCACTTCAGCAATAGGGTCTTATTAGTTAGGTCTAGTGAGCAACCAAAAACAGTGGCAATTGCCTATGTTGTTTGGGGGCCTTGGGACTCTGACCAACAACTTGTAGCAGTAGCCCAATGCTGGCAATGAGAAGTTCATTTAATGACCTCTGGCTTGCAAGCAGCTTTTTCTACCACACAGGGTACCTCTATTCTAACTCTTACTGCTTTTCAATAGCTTACTAAGCATTGGATTTTAATTTTCCCCCATACTTGTTAGTTTTAGTTCACTCTCCATCCTCTGGCTTTTCTCTGTGTTTCTTCCTCCCTTAAATTTTTCTACCCCCAGTATTACCTCATTTTGTATCATGTGTTGTAGTACTTGTTCCTCACCCCATAAATAATTTTTTCTTTTTTTATATATAGTATTGGTAATTGAGCCTAAGGCATTGAACTCTAGTACCCTAGCTAAGTTAACTGTTAACCTTTCCTTCCTTCCTTCCTTCCTTCCTTCCTTCCTTCCTTCCTTCCTTCCTTCTTCCCTTCCTTCCTTCCTTCCTTCCTTCCTTCCTTCCTTCCTTCCTTCTTCCCTTCCTTCCTTCTTCCCTTCCTTCCTTCTTCCCTCCTTTCCTTCCTTCCTCCCTCCCTTCCTCCTTTCCTTCCTTCCTCCCTCCCTTCCTCCTTCCCTTCTTTCTTTCTTCCCTCTTTCCCTCCCTCATTCCTTCCCTTACTTTACTTACTTATTTTGAAACAGGGTTTCTTTCTGTAGTCCTGGCTGTCCTGGAACTTACTCTGTAGACCAGGCTGGCTTTGAACTCATATATCCTCCTGCCTCTTCCTCCAGAGTGCTGGGATTAAAGGTGTATCTGCTTTCTAAGGACCTATGAATTCTCTCTCTCTTTAAAAAAACAAAAAACAAACAAAAAAAAACACTTGGTATCTCCTGGCATCACTGAGAAAGCTTGGGGCTTAAATGCTACATAGAGAGGATAGATTTAGTATTTCAGCTTAATCTTGGTTATGGTTAAGAAATAATTAATTAAATATGCATTTATATTGTCTCTTTAACTCTCATTAACATTTGTTTCCATTTAGGTTTTTCTGAGAAATTCCTTTTACATTTCCAGTTGAAACGTATTAAATCAGTTTTCATTTTGTGTTAGTTTTATTTTCATGCAAAGGTTTTACATCCAACGTCCGAAAGCTATTAAAATTCTTCTGTGTTATAATAATCAGTAATCTTTTTATGAACTTAGATGAGTAGAGAAATTGTTTTATTTTATCAAGTTGATCATTGACATATCCAAAATAAATTAATATTTTCTCATTTATATTAATATCTTATCACTGAGAAAACACTTTGACCTTTAAATTTATTTTATCCATATACTGATAGAAAACAAAAATGATACTAGTTTTCTCAGATACTAGTTTTCACTTGATATACTTTATGTTGTTAAATACAAATTTTGCTTTACTTTTAGCTTATTTTGTTACCTTTATCTTCTTTCCTCTACTGTTTCTAGAAGAGTGTGGTTGCCTTAAGACAGCTTCTCCCTAACTCCCAGAGCTTCATTGAGAACTGTGTTAAGGAAATCTCTGGTGAAGTGGTCATTGCCTCTTGTACCACGACAGCAACAACTTCTGTGGTTACAAGTACTGTTTCCCCAGCCCTTGTCTCTGGAGCAACAGCACCCAGAACTCTGTCTGTTCAGACTCTGAATCCACTTCCTGGTCCAGGAGGAACAAACACTGGAGTTGTCACACTGCATTCTGTGACCCCAGCTGCTGCAACAGGAGGTACAACACCTGCAACTGTTTTGCTCCAGACTTCAAAACCTCTTACAACATCAGTACCAAATACAGTGACAGCAGTATCCATTCATCCTGAGAAGCCAGTTGTTTCTGGGGCAGCAGTTACACTGGCCCTTCCACCAGTAACTTTTGGAGAAACTTCAGCTGCATCTGTTCGTCTTCCGTCTGTGAAGCCCGCCATTACCTCTGCTGGGACCAAACCTGATAAACCCATCGTTGGCACTCCAGTCCAGATCAAACTTGCACAGCCAAGCCCCCTCCTTGCACAGTCACCTGGCGTTCCACAGGCCGTCCAAGTCAAGCAACTCGTGAGTACCAACCAGTTCATTTCTTCCTCAGCTACTTACTCAGAAAACTTTACACATTCAGGAGATTGACAAGACTTTGTATATTTCCCAAATTTGACTAGTTGAGAGTCTTTGAGACGCACTTGTTCAATTTCCCTCTTTATAGCTGTACAGAGAAGCTCACACACACTGTTTACTGAACATTTGGGAGGAGTTGTGGAAGTTGTGGTTATGTACTTCAAAAGTCTATGCATATTTGTCCTTTCCCTTCTTCCTCTCTCTTCCCTCTTTTCTTCATCCCTTCCCTTCTTTTTCAGTGCTAGAGATCATGCAAAAATACCTTAAGCATTCTAGGCAAAAATTCTATCACTGAGCTATGTCACTGGCCTTTTTTTTTTTTAACTTATTGCCAAATTGGCTTTAAATATGCAATCCTGTAATAGATAATTGTGCACTCAAATGACTGTGTATCTCCTAATGAAAAGGATGGTTTTTATATTAACATCGCCAAACATTTTGTCACACATGGGACATTGATATAATATTTATTGTTTCAGTATTAATCTTTAAAAAATAATTGTTTTAACATTTACTTGCTTTGTTGCATATGTGTGTTTTGCTTGCATGTATGTATGTGTGGGACTCCGATCCTCTTCCCTCTGATTCCTAAGTGTTGGGATTACATTACTATAATTATTTAAGTGCCTAGTCTATTTATTTGATAGAAGTTTCTTTGTTTTGTGTTATTGCTTCAGTATTACATTAAATCTAAATATTTTTGGAAGCTATTACATAGGTGATTATTATGATGACCTTATTTTAGTACTGAAGATTGACACTAGGGCCTTGTACATTCTGGTCAGGTGTTTTTTCATTCAGCTGTAACTCCAGCCTTTTGTTGTGGGCTCATGCTCTCTGTCTCTGTCTCTCTGTCTCTCTGTCTCTGTTTCTCTGTCTGTCGGTCTGTGTCTCTGTTTGTGTCTCTGTCTGTCTCTGTCTCTCTCTGTCTCTATCTCTATCTCTTTTTCATCCACAGGTATGTGGAAGCCAGAGGTTGACGTTGGATTTCTTCTGGATTTCAGTCCACCTTGTATTTATTTCTGCATATGTGCATCAGAGTGAATGTATGCCACCTGATTTTTGGTGCCTTAAAAGGCCAAAAGTGGGATTTATAATTACACAGAGTTGTGAGCCTCTTACTGTGAACTCTACAAATGAACTTGTGTCCTCTGGAAGAGCAGAAAACTCTCTTAACATTGAGCTCTCTCCCCATCCCCTTCACACAGTTGAATCCTCCTGTTTCTGCCCCCAGTATTGAACCTACTGGCATGCTCACTCCACTATTCCCAGCTTTGATGTGGGCACCGGAAGCACTATCCATCGAACCCATCCTTCCACTACCTTTTTTCTTTTTCTTGTAAAACAGGCCAGGCAGTAGTGGTGAGGGTGTGGTGCATGCCTTTAATCCCAGCACTTGGGAGGCAGAGGCAGGCAGATCTCAGTGATTTCTAGGCCAGCCTGGTCTACAAAGCAAGTTCCAGGACAGCAGAGAAACAAAAAAATCAAAAGAACCAGGTCTCCCTCAGTTGCCATGCTGACCTTGCAATCCTTCTCCCTGACTCATCCTACTAAGTAACTAGTGTTACAGACCTGTGCAATTCATTAGGAGTTTTGCTTTTAGTATTAAAAAATGCTAAGGTAAGGGAGAAAGTGAAGGGAATAAGATAGGAGTGCATTTTTTTTTTTTAGTTCTTGGTATGTTGAAAAGATTCTTTGGTAAAGAAGAAAGTTTTAGTTGTTAATTTAATTACTGTTTAGAATTTTCTACTTCATTAAGGAAAAGACTCTATCCCCATCCATCCATCCATCCATCCATCCATCCATCCATCCATCCATCCATCCATCCATCCATCAGGATGGGGTTTCTCCTGTATAGCCCTGGCTATTTTTGAACCCACTATGTAGAACAAGGAACGCCAAGTCTACCTGCTTCTGCCTCCCAATTGCTGGGATTAAAGGAGTATGCCACCACCACACATTTTATCAGTAGACTATAAAAGTATTATTAACCCATGGAAGCTACTACATAGTGAATTAATTTAATCACTTTTCTAAGTAAGTTCTTAACTGCTGTTCTTTTGGTTATGGCTGTTGTCTTTTGTAAACTTTTGTGTTAGATATTCTGTTTTGGAATGCTTTGATTTAGTTCACTCTGTTCTGTGTATGCTGTCTAACCTTACTTGTGTAAAAAGGTAGAGGCTGTGTCTACACATAATTGTCCTCTAAGGCAGCTTCAGGCATAGCAGGTGGCTGGAATTGAAGGACAGTCTGTTAAATAGTTGCGGTAACGGTTATTTAGAGAGCTCTCACCTTCTTACCTCTTAACACTATGTTTGAATTTCAAGTGGAGAAATGTACAAGCTGTGGCAGGATTTCACATACCTCAACTTAAACAGATATGAAACATTCGTTTTGTTCAAACCTGCTAATCTACTTTCAGTCTGGCTTTAAGGAAGAGACCATCTGTTTATAGTAGGCCCGTTCTGAAATGAGTCTTACCTCTATACTACTTTTCTTTAATAAACAACATAAATAGCATATTTTTATTTATTTATTTTTAAATTTAAGTTTAAATTAGAAGCAAGGTTGCTTCACATGTCAATTCCAGGTCCCTCTCTCCCTTTCCCTCCCTTCCTCTCACACTCTCCCACCAACCCCTCCAATATCCCCTCATTTCCCCAGGGAGGGTGAGGCCCACTATGGGGGTGTCCATAGTCTGTCATTTCCATCCAGGGCAGGGCCTAGACCCTCCCCTGAGAGTCCAGGGCGAGAGTACGTCTCTCATTGTTGGATGGGTGCCCAAAGTCCATTTGTATACCCGGGATAAATACTGATCTACTACCCAAGGCTCAATAGATTACCTAGGCCTCCTCACTGACACGCCCATTCAGGGGGTCTTGATCAGTCCCATGCTGGATTCCCAGCCATCAGTCTGGGATTCAAGAGCTAACCCTTGCCAGGTCAGCTGTTTCTGGGGATTAAACCAGCCCAGTCTTAATGCCTTTGGTCATCAGTCCTCCGTCTCTGTCACTGGGTTCCTTGAGTTCAGTTCAGTGTTTAGCTGTGGGAGTCTGCCACTAAATGAAGGTTATGTTTCCACAGTCTCTCTGGCCATGGGATTGTAGGCTGGCACTCCCCAGATCTATGTCTAAAATCCATATATGAGAGAGTACATGCCATGTTTCTCTTTTTGTGACTGGGTTACCTCACTCAGGATGGTTTCTTCTGTGCCATCCATTTGCCTGCAAATCTCAGTATTCCATTGTTTTTTTTCTGCTGAATAGTACTCCATTGTGTAAATGTACCACATTTTCTCTATCCACTCTTCGGTTGAGGGGCATCTACATTGCTTCCAAGTTCTGGCTCATAAATAGCATCTTTTACATCATAAGATGTTGTATCTTTTTGGTTTCCTGATACATAAATGGTGGTCATTGGTGAGACATCCAACAGTACTGCGAACCAAAAACTATCTTCTTTAGCTTCTCTTTGCCAAATAACCAAATCTCAATACTCATTGTTCTGCAGTCAGCTAATCAATGACCATGTCTATATTCATACTTTGATAATTCTTTTAAAACTAGATCATGAGCTTAAGATTTCTTAATATTTATTTTTGGTTAGAATAATTCTGGAGAAATTTATACCTTTAGTCTTTTGCATATAATCTCTAACTATGCTTCAAGTTGTAAGAATTCTTTTAGACTACCATTACATGGTTTCAGTTCATATTATCTTATGATAATGAAACTGTACATTTTACCTACCCCCACTTTAAAAAATAGATTTATTACCACATATTCTCTTTTCTTCACATGCTATCTTTTTTTCCTTGTTGATTCGTGTGTTCTATGAACTAAAATTGTTCAATTTCTTTTAGGTGTAAGATTTTTCTTTTGTACTCAAATAGTTGATAGGAGAATCTGCTTGGTAGTTTTGGCAGTTTTTGTAAGAATTCAGTTCTTATAAAGACTAAACTTACTGGCTCTCATCATTTTTCCTATAGTAACTATACACTCAAAGAATACTAAGCTTAATATTTTATCCTTAACTTTTCTGTATAGAAACAATCAGGTGAGTTTTATTAACATTTAGTGGTTTTGATCTGGCAACTAAGGATTTGAAGAGCAGGAAAACTCTCCAGTGAAGCAGGTAACAGCAGAGAAAACTCAGCACAAACAGGAGCAGAAAGAATCAGCAGCTGAAAAAGGCTTTTATTGAGGGTGAAGAAGCACACTGCAAAAACACAGAGGAAAAGACACTTTGCAAAGCTAGGAGGAACTCAGGAACTGAAAATCCAGTCTCCAGGGCTGAGGGGTTTATTTTCTCTGAAGAAACTTCACAGTTGATCAGTGGAAGCACAGAATGACTGATTAGCTAACAGCTTTTGTGTGGCTTGTCCTGCCTTGCTTTTACCTTGTTGTATCCACATGGGGCCTCCTGGGGAGAGAAGCCCTGGAGGTCTTTGTTTTTAAGTTGCCAGGCATTTGTCTGCCTAAGATCAGGAGAGGAAGAAGCCATATACCTAGAAGTTCATCATCTTTATTACCTAGCTGTGGCCCTCTCTCCCTGTTTTTCTAAACCAAGGAATTTAACTCCAGATTTCTCAATTTGATGCTTGAAAGTTCTCTTTTAGAATTTTTCCTTTTTTAAAAAATTTAAATTAGAAACAAGCTTGCTTTACATGTTAATCCCAGTTCCCTCTCCCTTCCCTCCTTCCTTGCCCCCCACTGGCCTCCTATTCCTATCCCCTTTCTGCTTCCCAGGAAGGGTGAGGTCTTCCATGGGGGATCTTCAAAGTCTGTCATTATTTGGAGCAGGGCCTAGACCCTACCTACCCCATATGTCTAGGCTGAGAGAGTAACCCTCTATGTGGAGTGGCCTCCCAAAGTCCATTCGTGTACTAGGGGTAAATACTGATCTACTACCAGAGGCCCCATAGATTGCCCAGACCTCCAAACTGACATCCACGTTCAGGGGAATCTAAAACATCTCTTTTAGATATTTGTGTAAAAATTATTTTACTCATTTGAACAGAAGTTAAATTTCAATTTTAATTAGCAAAAGTAATTTAATTCAGAACAGCAAAATTGTAATTTCAGTCAGTTCATTTTTAAAATTTAAATTTCTAAAATTAATTTTACCAGATGAAATTAAAAGTAAAATCACACAAATGTACAGGATTTGCAAACAAAATTTAAGAATGAGAGAGTTAATTAAAAATCCACCCCCCTCCAGGCAGATAATTTTGGAAAGTAAACTGAACATTGTGTAGAGATGGAAAACAAAACTATAGGAAGAAAAGTAAGAAATACAGAGATAATTTTTTTATTATTATTACAAAAATCACATTTTTTTGTAGTAATTGTGTGGACAGGGAAATGTACAAGGTTAGAGATATGGGGCTGGAGGCTCTACAGCACAGCTGAGACCTGATTTTGGAGAGAGTATATGGTAACTTTGGTAAGGGACGCAGAAGTCAAAGGTTGGAAGACTTGGGGTAGTAACTTACTACATGCCCTTCCCAGGACTGGGAAGAAAAGTCTGACCAGGAAAGGGTGTGTCTGTCCTGTGAGTTGCCCTCCAGCAGCAGCTGCAGGAGACAGACCATCTTGAAGATGACACAGGCATCTTCACAGGCAGTCTCAAAACAGATTCCATAGAAGATGCCCAAAGTGAATAAAGACAAACTACAAGTGTTACCTCTTCCAATGTACAGTCTAAAAGTGAGAAATGCCAACAGGAGAGCTAGGTGAAGTCTGGATTTAGGTTGAGGCAGGGAAACTAGAGCTGGAGGTCAGTCAGAGCTCCATAATGATTGGGACAGGATGTCATACAACTCATTGACAGAGTGCTTGCCTATCAAATATGTGGGGCCCCAGGTTTCAATATCTAGTATTTCAAGACAAAAACAAGTAACCAAACCCTCATAACTACTAGCCATCATTTCTCAATTGCTTATCTAAGCATCCTAAGGATCCCTGGCCAGTGGAGCCTCACCCCCCCCCCAAATAAGCATCAGACATAATTCTTACTTTTGAACATCAGATACCAAGGGGTTGTAGAAATTCTTGTTGATGGAGTTGGCCATCCAGCAGACAGGATTGAGGGTCAGGACCACAGAGATTACAAAGATAGTCCTAGATATGAGCCCCAGTCGAGGGGAATTCTTGTCTTCCACACATGTAATTCACTTTGTTCCAGCAAGATATACCAAAAGGCCAAGCAGGACAATGAGGAGGGTGATGACACGGAGGGCTTTTGCAGCTTGTAGGTCCTGGGGCAGTGCCAGTAGTAAGTCATAATACACCTTGCACTGAATCTGGACAGTGCTCTGAACCACACAGCCACTTCTATACTGTCTGAGCCACAATGATGCTGTCACCTTCCACATGGGCAGGGCAAGGACACCAGGTCATTAACATAGCCAAGCAGGGTCAGAACTATCCTCAAGATTGTAGACAGAGGCCATGATGAGGTTCAGGGGGCTTCAAAAGAGACTGCAAAGATTCCTAGGTCAAAGGAGAGATTCTTGATTGCCAGTCTGAATGCGTAAAGGAGTATTCATGAACTTTAAGCCGAAGCCATAATACTTCAGAATATGTGTGATCTCAGATCTCAATTCTCAATGGAAATATATATTATTTTTCAAGAGTTCTTTTCTAGCTTGACTTTGTGGTTCAGATCTAGTTACTCAGAAGGCTGAGGCACAAGGATCACACATTTAAAGCTCATCTAAGCTACTTAGTTTTAGGATTCTGTCTCAAAAACAAAGCAAACACATAATACAACTTTTATCAAAGAATTATGGCAAATGAATTGCTCCAACTTACATCTCTTTTGCTAGGAGACCTCTTTTACCAAACAGTGATAGCAATTGAATTAGTTCATCCTATGATTATTCTTTATGGAGACATTGGAATGCTTTGTGTTTTTTGTTAACTTTTTTTGAGACCTGGAACTTGCTGTGTAGACTAAGAAGGAATTCACAGAGATCCTCCTGCCTCCTGAGTACTGAGATTAAAGATACGGGCTACCGTACCTTGTTTGCTACATTTTTTTTTTTAGTTGTACACGTTTGATTTTTATTACAGATAATTTGTTTTTGTAAATTTTTACGTGGAAGCATGTCTCTTGGGCAGACCATCGTACTTTATAATAAACATAGATAAACTTTTGCTTATCTCACTATCAGTAGCTGGGCCAAATACATGAGGACTTTTTCTTCATTGAAGTGAAAATATAACACTCTGCTTTTCTATCTTTTCTTTGAAGCTAAAAGCAATAATCTTGTTAGCACTTTAATTTCTCTTTATTCCCAACTATTACTGTATTTCTGTAGCTATTATTTAGAACAGTACTTTCTGAAGGGTTTAGGGATGATACTTTTCTTTTAAAAAGTACATGAAAGTTCTTATTTTTTATAGATATATTTTGGAATATTATGGATAAAAAGGTATTTTTTAAAACGAGGTGGTTGTGGTGGCGGCGCATGCCTTTAATCTCGGCACTTCGGAGGTAGAGGCAAGCAGATTTCTGAGCTTGAGGCTAGCCTGGTCTACAGAGCAAGCTCCAGGACAGCCAAGGCTACACAGAGAAGCCATGTCTGGGAAAATGCAAGAAACAAACAATTTTTTTTTTTACATTTGCTTTAAAATTGGGAAATAGGTAAAAGGTATAGTTGAAATATGATTATGCAGGAAGTAATCATTGTTTAATCTGGGTAGTGGTATAAATGGTTTCATTTTGTTCTCTATACTTTTGCATGTGTTTGAAATTTTCCATGGTAAATTAAGTAAAAGTAAGATCTGTATGATTATTTTCTTAAATTTGAATTCTGCTATAGAAAGTAATATTTAATGTACATGATAATGTTTTTCAGTTTTGAACGGGATACTTTTGCTGCATGCAAATTAAACTGGATGTGGTGGTAAATACCCAAACCCTAGCTAGCATTTAGGAAGCTGAGACAGGAGAATTTTCATGTTTCAGAGACCATTCTGGAGATAAATTTTAAGTAGGCATTTTTATTGTGCTGGATAGAGTTATATGTAGCTAGATAAAAACACTTAAAAATGGAAGCTCTTGTTTATTGCTAAAGTGGCTTCCTTGATTGTCTATAATGAACTCTTACTGTTTCAGGTAGTCCAACAGCCTTCAGTAGGCAATGCAAATCAAGTGACCACCATTTCCCATTCCTCATCATTGACCACTCAGAAATGTGGGCCGAAGATGCCAGTGAATACTGTAGTGCCTGCTAGTAAGTTTCCATCTATATGTACATTTTGGCATTCCAGCTTCATCACAATAGATCTGGAACATGACAGGGTTTGCTCCTGTTGTATTAAAAGAAGAGGAACTTAAGAAAAGATTGAAAAATAGCTATTACATTTACAGAAACACTCTTTAGGGGTATATATTGTTTTGAAATAAGCAACTGTTTATTGTTAGATAAGACATTCTAGTAGTAAATGTGTTACAAATATATCAGTATAAATAAAATATTTTCCAGTCACTTTTTGTGCATGATGTTTTTATAATGATGCTAATCCTAAAACAATTTGAGACTACATAAAACATAATCTAGAGATATTTATAAGATGATTTCTTATTCAGGGTAACATTCACTAGCCTATTATAATGTAAACATAGTTCTATGGTAGCTTTGATTATTTCAAAAATGCCCTGAATTTTCTTAATGTGAAATTATTGTTTTTTTATTTTATTCTACTGTTTTCTTTCTTGTTTTGTTTTTTACAGCTTCCATCATAAAGCAAATTACTCTGCCTGGAAATAAATTTCTCTCGCTTCAAGCTCAAACATCTTCTATTCAGAACAATAAAATAAAAGAGAATGGAGCACCATGCTTCAGGTAAAGAAATTCAGTAGTTAAAACTTGATCTGATGTGTGGAAGTAAAGTTCTAGGGGGAAAACATGGTAAAGAATAATGTCTAAACAAACACATGAGTGAATGCGTTTTAAAAATCCTGAAAGAGATAGCCCTGGTTTGATTCCTAGCACCCACATGGCAATTCATTACCTTCTGTAACTCCAGTTCAGTGGATCCAATAGCCTCTTCTGGCCTCCCTGGCCACCAGGCATTCATGCAGTGAACAGACATTAGTGCAGACAGCATAACCATTTGCTTTGAGAATAATTAAAAATTATTGAATATCATTTACAAGTAGCAGATACAAATCTTACATGCTTGTTTTTCAATTGATTTGAAAAACCTGTGTAGTAGTAGTCTAGACTCAGATACTCTGTCCATTGTCGCTGCCAAGTACCCTTCAAATCATTTACCTGTGTGTCCTCCTTCTTCTGCCAGTCCCTGTTCTTAGACTTGTCCTCAGGTACATATCATTTTTGTTTATTCCTGACCTTTATGTAGTAGAATATTATTACTCTTCTTTTATTTCCAATTTTGCTTCTGTAGTTTCAGCTAATGATAAGTAGGAATGTTCTGAAAATATTAAATGTAAGATTCTAGAACTAATCCATACATTTTTAATGTGTAATTCTGAATGGCATGACAAAGTCTAGTGTCATCATGTTAAGCAGATGAATCATCCCTTGTACAGTGTGCCCAGAATTGATATGCTGCTCCCTGCTTGGTCAGTTGGTAGCCACGACAATTATCAAATGAGTCAGTGCCTGTGTTCAGGTAGTTGAGGCTATGTTGTTTTACAATGTAGGCATTGTATCTTTTATTCATATCATCATACAAAGCATGATTCCAGGTTATTTTGAGGACTGAGAAAAACCACATTAAAAAAAGTATATTGCTATAATTATTACTAATTAGCCTTACTGTGCCTAATTTACAGATAAACTTTATTGTAGATGTGTATATGTAAGAAAAAACAGTATATATGTAAGATTCGGTTTTAGGACCCCTTGTCCAGTTCCACAGTCCTTAGATACACACCTTTTCAGGGGCTAGATGTTTTCTGATATAGGGTCTTTTTATTGTAGTTTCTCTTTTTATTGTGGCACTCTTAAGTTTTTCATTTTTATAACTTTAATCTTCAAAAAGATGCTTCTCCTTTACATTTCTCTTGCCAAGAATCTCTTTCCAGTTATTCCTTGACTCAGAGTATATTAGCCTTTTTCTGATAGTGTATTTTGTCCTTATGCCCATTGATACTTCTGCTTTCTATTTCCTGGGGCCTTTGCTTTTTACCACAAGACTGGAAGCAGGTGCTCATGGCATGTGGGGCAAATATCAGGCATCAAGATGAGTGGCTTCACCCTGAGATTTATTTCTCTTTTTCATTTAGAAATATTTGTAGTTTGGATATTCTTTGTCTTTAGGCTACACAGAGGCTATAGCTATCATTCTATATTGGTTTTGGAGGAAATATTGGAAGAAGACAATGAAGCATTTATGCAATAGTGTTTTCCAGATCAGTGAGTTTTGACAAAAGGCTAAACCCATGCACACGGTACTATAATCAAGATAAATTCAACATCCCAAAAGTTTTTTTTTGTGTGTGTGTGTGTGCTCTTTTTTTTTTTTTTTTTTTTGCCAGCCTGTCCTTGCATTCCACCCTGGACCCCAGACTACCACTGATCTGATTGTTAACATTGAAAGTTAAATTTGGGGTCAAGGTGCTCCCCATTTCTTGGCATCTAAAGTTAGAGATTTAGTTAAGTAAACTCAATTTTTCTTGGTCTAAATATGCCAAATTTCCCCAAGTTCTGACAATTAAAAAAGTATTTCTTCATTTTTGTTCATGTCAGTGCTACATGGGCTCTCCATGTTTTGCTTTTTCTTTTTAAGTATTCTGTGATTAGAAAACATAATCTAAACATTTTTAATCTTCTTAAATTTGCTAGGAGTCTTCATTGTGGTGAGTCTTGGTGAGTATCTTGTGAGCATTTGGTTTGGTTAGAAGGTTTCTAAATAGTAATTTGTTAAAGGTGGAAAATGGTACCAACATGATCTACATCCTAACGTTTGTAAAAAGGCTTTTGTAGCTTTTTCTATAACAACTCAGAATGAGTAATAAAATACCTAACTCTGTTTGTAGACTTGCTTCTTTTTCTATTACTCTTGTCAATTTTTACATTGTATATTTGAATCTTAGGATTCCTCAGTAAGACAGGAATGTACCTGTTTTACTCATTGTGTTTCCATCCCTCAGAGGTTGACATCCCTTCAATTTTTGTATGGATTTCAAATGGTTCTTTTAAAAATATTTTATAATTATTACTAATTAAACATTTTGCAAATGACAAAAATGGTAACCCTATTTTTTAAAACAGTATTGTTTTACAGTATAGTTATTTATCTTTCCCTCAGTGGAATAATTAATAATTAATCAAGTTACTGTACAGCCAATGCCTAGTTTTTTTGTTTTAATACCCAGGTTATTTGGAATGTTTCTTAGTTATTGTTCTATTGCTGTGAAGAGATACCATGACCCAAGCAGCTTATAAAAGAAAGCATTTAATTGGGAGCTTGCTAACAATTTCAGAGAGTGATTCCATGACTATCCTTGTGGAGAGCTTGGTGGCAGGCTATCTCTCTGTTGGTCTTGGTGCTGGAGCAGCAGTGGAGAGTCTACATTTGATCCAAAAGAGGAGGCAGAAAGAGAACTGGAGACTCAAAGCCCATCCCCTATAATATACCTTCCCTGACAAGGACACACCTTCTAATCCTTTCTGAACAATCCATCAACTGGGGACAAAGTCATCACACATAGGAGTCTATGGGAGCATTGTCATTAAAACTACTACAAGAGTTTTGTTTTCTTCTTCCTCCCTGCTTGCCTTCCTGCCTTCCTGCCTTCTTGCCTTCCTGCCTTCCTGCCTTCCTGTTTCCTCTTAGAAAGAATTAATTCAGAGGCCTGAAGGGAACCTGTAGAAGTCATCTCAATCCAAACTGTAAAGCAGTTCCTTTGAGGCTGCTTGTCTACTGTAACTTTGTCCCCTATCAGGTAGTCAGTCCCTCAGGATTTCAGTGCGGACTTATACTGCCTTGCAGGGCTGTGAACCCCAAGTTTTATTGCCCTGGCACTTGTGAAGTGATTAAAATTTATTGTGCTTTGCATAGGATCCCCTCACCCCCGGACTTTCTTGGCTTCTTTAGTATTTCTGTGAATGCTTCATTGGTAAACATGTTCATGGCCTATGCTTCAAGCCTTGGATACTCTTGAGTTCCAACTTTCTGTCTTTGTCTTCACAGAATTATCTGATACTCGGTTGACTTTTCTGTCCCTTAGCAGCTTCTGGTTTTGTGTTTGGTTAGTGTCTCAAGGAAAAGACTAGTGGAGAAAATGGACATGCTTCAGTGAAGCTCTGGGCTTGAGACTATGATTCTTCAATACCTGGTTCTCTTTGCAGCTTCCTAATACCTTTACAAAAACCTTTGAAGAATAGTTGTGGTTCTATCAGGTTTTCATATGTATATACGTATGAATGTATGTATACATGCATACCTTGTTAATAACATATTGATCTATAAGTTGTGTTTAAGCCTATATAGATTGTATGCAAACCTTATAACTTATAATAGTTTTGGTTCAAATATAGAGTTAGTGTTTTACAGTTCACACAGTTCTGAAATTTTTAATTTTAAAGTAATTGAATTTGCTAACTTTTTGAAGCTCTTAGGCATTGTTTATGAGATTCTCCAAATAGAGCCTGAGTAGTCTTTTTACTGTTGCCTTTTCCAAGTTTTCCGTCTGTTTAAATATTCATGTCAGCAGGATTTGTTATGTTTTCTTGTGTTGTTAACTAGGATTCCTGAGTTCCTATTTCCATATCAGAGAATCAGTGACCCACAGCATCTCTTATTTGTATTTCAGGGGTCTTTTAAGGGCTTAAATTTACAGTTAGCAAATAACTCATCTAATGCCTTTCCTTCCATCCTTGTTTTCATACCTGCTATGGATAGGGCATGATATTTCACTCTGTAGTCCAGGCTGGAGGATAAAGTGCTATGTAGAACACAGTGAGTTTTAGGCACTCTGTAAGTATCAGGGAAATAGAAAAAATTTGCAGTTCTCTTGCCTTGGCTTCTGACCTCTGGGATTTCAGGCACCTAATACCATGCCTGCTGCCTCTGAATTCTATCATTTTTCTCCTTTTTTTCCATTCCTCCTTCCCTCTCTTCCTTCTTTTGGCTGTACTTAAGCTTTTGCCATTCCCTATAAATTGAAAAATCAGTTCGTTGAGTTTCCCGAATCTTTATAGGGTTTTAGTTGGTCTGACGTTGAGTCTACACGTCTTCTGTTCTCTGAGTGACTTCTTTAAAATTATGAGCTGCTGTCTGTGAACAGTATTTATGTTGCTATCTTTTTTAATACCGCTAATAAAATGTAATTTATTCATATAGACGTGTGTGATTTTGTTGCATATATCCAATAGATTTGTATTTCTAGGTACCTTTTTGTTATATCTTCCTTTTTTTTTGTTGTTTTTGTTCTATTTTTGATACTAATATAAAGAAATGCAAAAAGATTTTACCACTGGTATTTCATATCATTTCTAATATTTTAATTTTTTAGGTTATATAGACTGATGTCATGAGTATTATTTTAATTTTGGATGACATTTGTGGGGCTTTCAATACTTTAAAGACATCCATTGTTTCATAGTATTCGTGTATGTTTTCACATTCAGGGATGAGTATGTACATCAAAGTCACCCTGAGTCACAGTTTAGGGAAAAGCAGCATGGTTTGCTTGATCAAATGTTGGATATTAGTATTTAAATTTCTTATATATTAAAGCAATAATTATCTATTAAAATGAATATAAAGATCGGGAAAATAGTAAGTTGGAACATTTGGAAATGAAAACTGTAGTTGAAAATTTTAACTTAAGTATATGGGTAAGTCAGAATTGACCTGAGGATCTAAATTC